ATTGGCGGCACTAAATTCTGAACTATAATTTTTAACAATAAATAAATAACGTGGTTTCAAACTCCAAGTTCCGAACCACATTTTTTGGTCAAAAAAAGTTTTAAAAATTGGAGTTTCAAATAAAGAACAAAGCGTGAATGACAAAGAATCCAGTTTGGAACTTAAAAGAGTTCAAAGTAATGGCAATTTGGGAAAAATAAAATTAGGGAAACAATTACATAGGTATAAAATTGGAAATTTTGAGGATTTTTTTTTCAATACTACATAAAGAAAGGGATTACATTATTTCCTTTTTACTCAACCCAAAAAAATTATTTATTTATTTATTTAAATACTGCAAATTTCAATGATATTTACGAAAGTTTGCTTAAATAAATAAAACAGGAAGAATTTAATCAAAGGGCTTAAATTATCTTACTGAATATTAAAAGGCTCAAAAGATCTCATTTACATGGCATGATTTACTTTTTCAAGTTCATTTAAAAGGCACGTCATCAAAAAAAAAATGTTTTAAACTTTTAAAGTTACCACTTCAATGTTCAACCAGGGGCTTATGTAATTTAGACCAATTAAATAGGGGTGCAGTTTGTATAGAGCGGAGGCTCTAAACAATCAAAGTAAAACGCACCTTTAAATAGTATCGAGAAATGTAGTTTCAATACTAGAAATCTTTGTGATAGCCTTAAAATTTATTTCCATATCTAATTATAAAATTTAGAGCTTCAAAAATAGTGTAGATCGAGCAAATATATAAAAATTTGAAAATCTTGAAAATTGACGATAAAAAAATACATTACAAGATGCACTATTTCCCAAACTTGAAATTCATTTTTTTTTCTCATATCCATGCATCTTAAGGTCGAGATGATCAATTTGAGGATTTTTGAACATCAAAACAACATCTTCTAATGAAATTTTTGAGGTGCACCCTAATTGGATTGTTTAGAGCCTTGCACTTATATATATATTTTTATTATAGCTCGAGAAAAATTTTAAAAATATCTCTAGTTATTTAGGGTCTGGAATGTATAAATATTAAATAACCAAAATACTTCAGTCATTCAATGTTAGCCATGTGAAACGGAGAAGTTATATTTTCCCAACCATAAAGAACCAAAGGTGATGTATAATTTAGATCAAGTGGTTTTTGGTTATTTTGAAATGAAATTTTAAATCCATATTTTCATCAAAATAAAACTAAAACTTAATCAATCTCTCAATAAGTTTTGATAAAATTTTATGTTGGCAGCCTACCTAACACAATCTACATCAAATGGGCAGGAGACGCGAAAGTTTACAAAAACTCACCCTTCTTAGACCAAGGTCTTTAAGCAGCTGGATAAATGAGTTTCTTTTAAGAAAAAAGTTTATATAAGGATGCAATCTTATAATGTAAAACTACGGATGCACATCGAAAAAAGGTAGTTTTAATATTGAAAAAGCCTTTGATTGATCATCTCGATATTAATAAAAAGATGAAAAATAAAAAGATTTTAAGTCTTAGAAATAGTGCACTTTACAACATATTATCTATACAGTCTATTTTCAATATTTTTATATGTTCATGAATCTACTTGATTTTAACCATTTTTAGAATTTTAAATTTTATAATTAGATATAAAAATAAATTTTAAAATAATCTTAAGAACATTTTACATCAAAATTATATACGATAATAAAATTTGAGCCTCTACAGCTACGGATGCATCCGTATGCCAACTGCCGCTTCTTTAAATGGTCCTTTAGATTTGTGAGATAATTTTGCGGTTATTAAACCCTAATTTGATTATATCAAAGCAAACCAATATGGAGGCAAAACTGGGACTACAAAACACGGCAGAACATTTTGGTGGAGAGTGATAGAGAGGGCGACGTGCGTTCTTTGTACGGTGAGGCAGGGAAAGACGGAGCAACCGAGAGAGAGAAAGAGAGCGTGTGCTGCTCTGCTTCCATTAATGTTTATTTCCGATATTAACGAGGTTACCGAGTGTCGATTTATCCGCCAAACGGATCTTATTAACTTCTCTCTCTAAAGCCATTTCCTCTTCCTCAAAACTGAAATGCGCATTTGATTCTCTCTCTCTCACTCAGCTTCAATGGCGCAGCTAGTTGCTAATGGATCCATTAATGGCTCCTTCTTGAGCTCCCCTAACGACACCACTAGGAGAAGAAGATCTTCTGGTAAGTTTTCCGGCGTACTTAACCGTAAAAATGGCCGTTTTTCTCGTCAGATTCCAGCCATGGCCACTAGTTTGAGTACAAAGAGGACTTCGCAGTCCCAGCCTGAAGTTCTTCTAGTTACGCCGGAAGATGTTCCAAGCCTTGTAAGTTTGTCACATTTTATGGATTTTTGACTTGGATCTTATAATAAGAGATGTTTCATTTACATGATGATTCGAGTCTGTGCTTTGGTTGGATTTTTACTGTCTGCTTTAGAACTAGCCATTTATTAGTTGATTTGCGATATGTGTTTTTTGTCCCACAAATTTTGGATCGCTCTCTATTTTCCATTTCTTGTCATTTTACACTGCATAATGGGTATGCAATGGGTTTTACGGCGTAAATTGTTTTCGCGATAGTAAGTTGGGACTTCTTATGCAGTAAATGGGGATTTTGTTATTTGTTATTGTGACAATTTAAGTGGACTATTACTCAGTTTTGGGCGTCCGGTGATTTTTCATCCTTACGTTATTTGTCATTCAGAATTAATGTCTTTAAACCTGCGATATTTATACAATGTATGCTTAATTTTTGAATCTCGTAGGAATGATTTTTTTTTTTCCTTTCTCTATAAAGGTCTCACATGGCGCTGATATTTCTTTTTCCGTGAAGTATGTTTGTTTGCATTTGCCTCTGAATTTGAGTGGGCGGGGTGGGAATGGATTGCTAATTCGGCAACTTATAGCCTATACATCTTGCAACTGCATTTAGATTTTATTGTTACCAAAAAATACCATATTATGTTAAGGTTTGGCGTGTCATAGGGGTTTGGTTCTCTTTCACTGTAATAGCTTGCAAACTGCCTAGTTAAATGGAAATTAAGTTGCCACTTTGACACGCTCCCCACCTCTCGCTCTCTCTCTATATATATATATATATGCATGTATAAATGTGGAGAAGTATACAAAGAGACCAGTTACTTTTAGTACAGGGAGGTCCCAATTATTTATGCCCATCAGATTTTAAATCAGGTTGTTAATCAGTTTGTTGTAGGTGTTTCATTTACTAGACTCAAAGTTCAAAAAAAATAAAATGTCAAACTTCATAACATTCTAAGGCATCAAATTTGACATCTAATGGCTAGGATTGATTGTAACTTCCTTGTAATAAAGGTAACTGATCTCATAGTATATAATCCCAATGGACTGCTGTTGAAAGCAAAGGATAAAAGTTATGTGGAATGACCTCTATGGACTGCTCTGCTGTTGAAAGCAAAGGATAAAAGTTATGCTGTTGAAAGCAAAGGATAAAGGTTATGCCTTTGAAAGCAAAGGATAAAAGTTATGCTGTTGAAAGCAAAGGATAAAAGTTATGTGGAATGACCTCTATGGACTGCTGTTGAAAATGTGTATCCTCTAGGAATGTCTGATCCAATCCAATCTTTAAAACAAATATCATTATCTGCCCATTTCATTACAAATTACTTTGAGGAGATCATCTGCAATGGCAACGAGATTGCAGGAGTTGGATGCAACATGATTTTTTTTGTTTTTCACTTCTATTCTTTTGATATACATGTAAATTTTGACATATTTCCTTTTTGTTTTGTTTTTGATTTTTATGACAGCTTAATTGGGTATAAATTTTTTTATGCCTCCAATTTTAATTTATTTTAGAAAATTAATGTGCTCCAACATTTTCCTGGAGAGATAGATGTTTTTGGTATATGAATTTTTTTTATAGAAAAGCGAGTTGCACTGGCATATCTGTGGTTATTATGTCATTTAAAGTCAGAACATTGATTAGAATGTTAATAATGGCCTCTGGTCATAGATATATATGGTTGTACTAACTTTTGTACCCTCAGACCATGGAATGATACTTTCATTTTTTTTCGTTCCAAAAAGTAATGGATTGTTGTTATTGAACAGGGAAAGGATGATTTCCCGCATCTTGTAGGTGCTCAGCTACATGGTGACGTATCAGTGGGCATTTGGTCTAAGCCAAGTGTTACGCGCAAGACAAAAATTGTCTGTACAATAGGCCCTTCAACAAATACACGTGAAATGATATGGAAGTTAGCCGAGGCTGGTATGAATGTTGCACGTCTAAATATGTCTCATGGTGACCATGCATCACACCAGAAAGTTATTGATCTTGTTAAGGAATATAATGCCCAAGCAAAAGACAATGTTATAGCAATTATGCTTGACACCAAGGCAAGTTATTTCTTTTATATTCTGAGATTTCTTTTTCTTTGATAGTTGCAAAGGGTTTATTTGCTTTATATATTTCTATTATACTGTTCCCCCTGTTTCATTTGTCTAGAATAGTATCTAATCTTCTCTAAATTGATACCAGTGCATTGTACGTCAGAGACTGAAGTTGAACTATTTCAGCATCATTTGAGACATTTAAATCTCTTCAGAGTGCACTTTGAGACACTAAGACTGAAAGATATGCATCTTATGACTTGGACAATTTTTTGAAGCCCTAGATGCTTTCTCATTTCATGGATGAGTAATTATTAGTACTGATTTAAAGAAAGTACGTCATACTGCACAAGTGATGCAAATGAAAATTTATCCCTAAGGAAAGGTGTCAATGAAATAGGTGGGATTGTTCCCTAGTGAAACAGCTACTATTTGGTTCCTCTTTGATTATGGAATCAAAATTTCAATTAGTGTGGCTAAGGATGTGATACCAAATTGCTCAATTGAATATCTCTTCCATCAAGTCTATGATCCTTTGACATGAAAAGCCCCCCAAAAATTGATGGAGTTTGAGTCGTGTTAAATGGCTCTTGCCATGAGAAGCCCACACATAAGGTTAGTTACTTCTCATGTCATGTTTTATTTTTAATAGGTTGGACATGATTGTATATGTTGAGGAAGTTCTATACCTTGCACATATGTGTGCATCTGGGTTTTCTTGGATTTGTTTTTCATTTTTCCCTTTGGACATGTCCAGATCCTCTTACAACTGGATCAAATATTTTTTTTGATGCTGTTGACTGTTCTATATTAAAAGAACAAGGAAGGTACAAGGGGGGGAGTAGAAACCACCCACACGGGGGTTCTAGTCCAAAAAATAGGCTATCCAAGAGTGGTGGTCCAAGAAACCACCCAACTGGATCAACTATTGTTCAACTACTTTATCATCATTCACAATGGGAGGCTTCCTTTACGATTCCAGTGAAATAATCATTTAATTTCTCTGGTTCTTTTAAGCATCCCTAATAAATTACATGAAAAGCTTATTTTTATTTCACTGGAATCGTAAAGGAGGCCTCCCTACTAGGTTTTCATCCCTAATAAATTAGATTTAATAATCATTTAATTTCTCTGGTTCTTTGAAAAGCTTTGTCTTATTCATGACATTTGATAATTACACCTCCCATTTTTAGCACTTTACTAGGAGCATAAAGGCTAAAGAACAAACAATTGCTCCAATAGGCTTTTTTTTACAGTTGCTGTCTCCCTTCTCAAAGAAGTAGTTTGTGGTTTTAGACAATTTATTTTCTATAATCACGAGTACTTTTGCCTCTGTTATTCTTTCTTGATTTAGTTGGGACTCAATAATTGACAATACTCTATGTTGAAATTGGGACATGTACTAGACCATTGAGATTACCTCTAGAGATTGTATATGGATTGGTTAGGTCGTATTAAAATTTTACTTCACCCATTATTTTCTCTCATTTCTTTACTTGCATGATGCATGTGATTGATTACTATTTGCTTACATTTCAGGGACCTGAGGTTAGGAGTGGTGATTTGCCACAGCCAATTATGTTATCTAGTGGCCAAGAATTCACATTCACTATAAAAAGAGGGGTTGGCAAAGAAGATTGTGTTAGTGTAAATTATGATGATTTTGTTAATGATGTGGAAGTTGGAGATATGATCTTGGTTGACGGTAAGGCTTAAGTTCACATTTTTTTATAATCATATTTTTTTCCGCTTTGCTATTAACCTTGAATTCCCTTTGATCTACATGTACATATTTCTCCCTTTTTTTTTAAAACCAGCAACTAGAATATTCAAACAGGGAGAAGTGCATACTTAGTATTTTGAATGGTGGGTCTTTTGCAAACTTTATCATCATATTGATCTTGAGCAATCTATTAGAACTCCAACAAGCTAAGTTATTTACGCTATGTTTTATCTGCGCCCTCTTTATCATTAATTTCACCATACCGGTTGGTAAATACTAATATGCTTATATTACCTTTTCTGATAATTACTAATTGTGGTTGTTCTGTTGATCAAAGTAAATATCTGCGATAAATGGCATTAATCGGCTCCTTGATTTAGCGATACCAGTTTTTCTGGCTGTTCCTTTTTTTAATGAAGTTTTGATACCAACGATTGTCTGCTCTTTTTAAGGTTTCGGCTGGGTAATCCATCTTTTCTTTTAAGCAGAAACTGAAATTTTTTGTGGTTTCTCATTCAAATCATGCTCTAATCGCTTCAGATTCTTAGGAAGGTTTTGAAAGTTATAATAGGGGACGATGTTCTCAGGTTGTTCTCTAGTTCAGCTTTAATAGCCACCGAAACTGGATTCTATCTAATTTAGATTCATACGTTCCCATGCCAGAAATTGTTTTCCTCTCAATATGTGGCTTTTAAGCTCTGGTGAAATCTCAACACAGTTTAATGTGTTCAGGTGGAATGATGTCTCTCATTGTGAAGTCCAAAACTTCAGATTCAGTACAATGTGAAGTTGTTGATGGAGGGGAACTGAAGTCTAGGCGTCATCTGAATGTTCGAGGGAAAAGTGCTACCCTGCCATCCATCACAGGTTAAGACGAATTTTCCCCATTTTCTTGGATATTGATTTGTACTTCTGTATTGCTATGCTATGTAATTCTTATGAACATTTTAAAATGTCTTTGTTGATCGCAGAAAAGGACTGGGAGGACATTAAGTTTGGGGTGGAAAATAAGGTTGATTTTTACGCTGTGTCTTTTGTCAAAGATGCAAAGGTGGTCCATGAGTTGAAGGACTTTCTCAAAAGTAATAAAGATATATCTCTAATTTGTTTCTTTAGTTACCGTTTCTAACTTTCTATTAATGAAATAAACTAGCACATTTATCAAAAGAAAGCTTCCAACACAGTTGAATTCACAGAAGTTAACAACTGTCAGACAAGTATATTTCCATTGTGGAGTAAACCCTGAGGGATTTCATGGAGTTTATCTTGTTTTTGCAGGTTGTGCTGCAGATATACATGTGATAGTGAAAATTGAAAGTGCAGATTCTATCCCCAATTTGCATTCTATTATAACTGCATCTGATGGGGTGAGAATCCAAAATTTCATTTGGTTTACCATTTCAAGTATGTTTCACTCCTCAAGGTGCTTCTCGGAATGTTGGCTATGTTATTGGAGCTTTATTAATAACCTCAGTTGAGTGCATGGAATCGATGCTCTTTCGAGAGTGGCATACTTTTTTTTTTTATTTTTTTTGTCAATTTGGATAGTCTATCTAAAGGGCTGTAACCCGGTACTGGTCCGCCCTAAGCAGGGTCCCGGGAGGGGTGAGATAGAAACGGTCCTAACCTCTGGCTTTTTATGCACAAAGTGGCTGCTCTCAGGACTCGAACCCACGCTCTTGCGCTGGCTACCGGAGCCTTTTACCGTCACATTGGTGTGACGGCCCCTTTTAGATGGTCTATCTGCAACTTTATTTTTAAATCCGAAAAATTTAGGTCAATATTTTATTGATTGTTTTGGGGCTTATGTCAATCTTCTTGGTCCTTTCGTTTGACGAATTGTAGGCTATGGTGGCTAGGGGTGATCTTGGGGCTGAACTCCCGATAGAGGAGGTTCCTTTGTTGCAGGTATCATTTGTTTACTTGTTCTCTTTTCATTTTGCCATGAATACATAGAGCAATATGCATTTGGAAAGGGCTACCGTAACTTTTAAAGAAGATAAATCATAACCAACATGGCTTATTAAAAGATTTCTAGTCTCTTTTACATGTGATACTATCTCAAAGCCTTAATAAAACTAAATGCGATAAGGAAGTTTCTCTGTTCAGCGATCCTTTGGCTATATAAGTTTGTTTTTCTCGTTTTTCCTATTTCTATAGTACATAGCATCCATTACACTAGTTTTGTCCCATTGTTGAGCTCTTGATTCTTTAGATGAGGGACTAACCACAGAATCATTGCAAACTCCTGGTTTATAATTGGACCCTTTAGATTCAACAGTTCTTTTACATGTTGACTTGCTTAATATGAGCTGCAAACATGTTGAGAACAATGCCACTGCAAATTAAGGAATAGAGGACATCAAAAAATTTATAAAATTAAAAACCTATGGAGGTGGAGATAATAGGGTGACCACAATTTTGAGTTCTTTGATGTACAATATTTTTTTCAACCAAGTAATTGGATTTTCTACTTAAAAAATTGTGATCGAACATTTATCAGAATTTCTACTTCTTTCCATCATTATTATGATTAGTGATTGAACATATTTGGATACCTTTTTTTCTTGGAAAATTTATTTAATGATAATCCAATGACATGGATCAAGTATTTACCAGCGAATTCAGTCGTTAGCAACGTCAAAGGCCTCATCGCTTCGTTTCAGAACAAAACGTCACCCATTCAGTGGTCCATATCATGAAACAAGCAAAGTCTTCCCTCAGGATGAACCTGAGAATGGGCTTGAGCTCGAGTCCTACGATGGAAACGTAGAGTTAGATCTCGAGCTCATGGATATGTTCTTGCTGGTTTATAAATCAAAACACTTCTTGTCAGTTCATACTAGTTTTCTCTGCTCCCCCCCCCCCCTCTTCTTTTGGGGTATCTTAAACTTTACAAAATAATTGGGATCAATATCATGTTTTCAACGCTATAGTTGAATTCTACACAAAGGTTACTTTAATTTCTTTTTCCTTTCTGTCCAAATAAATTATTGAGGTTAGAGCTGAGAGCTGAGTTTGGGAGCACAAATGATGATATGGGAATAAATGATTAGCGGCATAACTTAATTGCATAGCTTACAATAAGAAAGAAAAGTGGTCCCAAACTGTTCCTCTTTCCTAAAATAAAACACTGCCTATCGTGGTGTTTGCATTACCGTGGGCATTATATTTGGTGTTGGCAAACAAACACCTGTTGATCACTAGCTCGAAAATCATCATAAAGCTCCGAACCAATTTTGGAACTAAATGACTAGTTGGAAACTATTGGAAAATTAAAGTCCGTTCCTTTTTTTTTCTTTTTTTGCTGTAGGAGGAGATTATTACGATTTGTCGTGGTATGGGAAAAGCAGTCATAGTGGCAACAAACATGTTGGAAAGCATGATTGTTCATCCTACTCCAACCCGAGCGGAGGTATCAGATATTGCAATTGCAGTTCGTGAGGGTGCTGATGCAATCATGCTATCAGGCGAGACTGCCCATGGAAAGTATGAATATTTCGTGCTGTCAGATACATACACAGTTTTTTTCATTCTTCTGTGGTCATTGTTTTCTGCTCAAGTGACATAAGAACACATTCATATAATTCATTTTTTAACCTTCTTTAGTTTATTAAACTCCTTGGTTCTTATAAGATTCTCTGAGTTTATCCTTTTTGATAACTTATCTTGTTCTCTTAGATTTCTTATGATTATAATGATCATTGCTACCAAATTTAAAGCTCCAAATCTCAGTATAGGTCGACATCATTGATTCCCATTTTTAAAAAAATTGGAAAATTGTCTTTAATCTTACACTTTTATATTGGTGTTGTCTTTGATCTTTCTTCTTTGCTACTCCTGGTTTTCTGAGCTTGCAATATCATTCATCAGTCCCTTGACAAGGACTATTGGGTTTTTTGGTAATTTGAACTTTCTTCTTCTGGTGCAGATTTCCTCTGAAAGCTGTGAAAGTTATGCACACAGTTGCTTTAAGGACTGAAGCAACCATTACTGTCGGAGAAGCACCTGTTAATCTTGGTCAGGCTTTCAAGGTTGGCAGTGTTGGTTGTTGGCAATTTGAGTTACGTTTTCAAGGACTAATACTCGATCTTGAAAATTTTGTCTCTATGTTTTTTATATTCAACATCCATGGCTTAGATAATGAATCTCTGAGAAAATTTAGATCTAAAATCCATCTTTAAGATGGATTTTAGATGGTGCCCACATTTGCACATGTGAGTCGGCCGACTCATAGAAACCTTGCCCCTACTTATATTCTGCTGTTCCATGTCTATGCCATTACTTGTTGAGTGACCTGAGTTATATTTTAAGTATTTTTTGAGGACGTCTTTATAATTCGTTCACAAAAATAGTTTTGGATATTATGATTGGGGTATTATGCTTGAAAATATTCCTCTCATGTTTTCTATGTTATGTTTTCTATTTGAAACTTATGGGTATGTCCCATTTCCATGACCTTCAGGAGACATCTTCACACACCTTTAGTCTTGCAACTGTTTCTACTGGAATTGGAATGCTGCTTCAAGTACATATTGGTTAAAATGGACTTAGATGGCAGTCATTTTTGTTTCAATAGCATTTTTTCATTATTAAGTTAATGGATCAACATGAGATAGCCTCCTGTTGGCACCTCTTTTGTTCTATCTTAATGTGTGTGTATTTTTTCTTTCAGAATCATATGAGTGAGATGTTTGCTTTCCATGCAACTATGATGTCAAACACTCTTGGCACGCCGATAGTAGTCTTCACCAGGACCGGTTTCATGGCTATCCTGCTTAGCCACTACCGTCCATCTGGCACTATCTTTGCATTCACAAATGAGTAAGTGCTTGGTCTCTAAACTGGGTTTTCTTTTTCCAATGTTTGTGTGTGAGATGGGGGATTTTGCTTTTTTTATAGGGAAAATTATGGATACCCCCCTAAATTGCACTTTGTAGATATTCCATCCTCTAATATTTTTAGGGAAAGGTTTCTATGCTTCCCCTACAACATAGAAGATCTATGCTTCCCCTATCATCCAGCCGTCCAATTTTGATTAAGAGAGCCACTCACCATTTGATCTTAAATCCGACGTCTCAAAATTTTATTTTTAGTTTTTTCATACAAATTGTATGAATATGAAATTCGGTACGTGCCATCTTCTCATTGGGGCGCACCTATAAAAAATATTAAAAATAATTTTTTGATAAAATATAATGACGAAAATACACCTTTAATCTTTCAAAGGTATTTTGGTCATTTCATTTTATTAGAAATATTTTTTTATATTTTTTGCTAGTGCGAGTTTAATAGAGGATTGGACGTACAAAATTTGGGGTCAAAATAGTTTATAGAAAAAAAATTAAAAATAAAATAGTGTAAAGGCGTGACATTGTGATTAGGGCAATCTTAGCCCTCCATTCAGAATGGACGGTTGGATAAGGGGAAGTATATAAGTTTTATGTTGTAGGGGAAGCATAGAAAGCTTGCCCATATTTTAATATCACACCCATAACCCAGTTACTATATTTTCTTGCTTTTATTCCCCTAGTCAAAAAGTTAATATTTTAAAAACTAAAATACCCTTCCCCTCTCTATACCCTACCAGTTAAAACACATACACTCTCTCTGTCTTTCTCTCTTTCTACCGGTCTGAAATCAGTCTCTCTCTCTCTCTGTCTCCACTTAATATTAGTTTCTCTTTCTCTCTCTCTCTTTTAAAGCTTTTTTTTATCTTTGTTTGGGCATGCTAGGGGTTGGGGGTTAGGGGGTATGAGACTTATTTTATCACTCTCTCTCTCTCTCACGTGTTGAAAAATGTGGTCTGGCAAGCTTTCTAGCTTATGGAATTCCAAAGCCTCGTGGCCGGTTCGTACACTTTTGTGTCGAACTGGATTTTTTACTTCGGTCCGACACAAAAGTGTTCCCTACCGGCCACGAGGCTTCTGGAATTCCAGAAGGCAGAAGTTGTGTGTCGGACCGCTTTTGTTTTTTGTTTGGGTTCGACACAAAAGTGTGCCAGACCAGCTTCAATCTTTTGGAATTTTAGAAGCCTCGTGATCGGTCCGGCACACTTTTGTGTCGGACCACAGTTTTTCAATGTGAGAGAGAGAGAGAGAGAGAGAGAGAGAGAGAGAGAGAGAGAGTAGTAGTTAGGTAGGTAGGTAGGTAGGAGGTAAGGTTAGTTAGTAGTAGTAATATTACTTAGTAGTAGGTAGGTAGAAGAAGAAAAAGTAATAAGTAGTTAGGTAGGTAGTAGTAGTAGTAGTAGTAGTA